CCCTCTTTCTCAGATTCCAGGTAGCTCGGTCTCCACCCCGTCACCACTGGTGCATTTCCTGTGCACACACATCATAGCCCTCCCAAACCACTGTATCCTCCTCTTTACACTCAGCAGACTCTGAGCTGTCCGTCTAAACCGCAAGCGAAAGCTACCAGCCCCAACCGATCTGGATTCCCCTTCCTTACGCACGGAGAAGTATTCATCTCCAAAGCCCTTTGAAAACTTTCAAATAGACTCAGATCCTAGTCCTACAACACAGCCCAATGGGAAAGACTGATAATCCCACACCAAACACACTACTCCAGATAACAATGTGTTGCCTGGAACGTTGTCTCAGGAGAACACTAGGTTTACCCCAAAAGAACCCATTAAAATAATGTGTAGTTTTCTATGTCAAAGATGTCCTTAACTTTTTTAATGACACTCTGAGTTAAAGTGTGGCCTCCAACTTACATAACTTTCAGACATCATATGAGACCGATTCAACAACTGCTTGGGAAGTGGGTGGCTGGAAGGCTCCCAAGTTACCCTAAGCTTTCTTCCTAAAATGGTTTCTAGGTTGACTCCAGCACAGAGAGCTGTCGATACCCTAAATTTCTATGCCACACGTTGTCATATTTTTGCCTGAAAAGATCTTTATTTCTCCATCAATAATGATGTCTAACAATTGTGCGCACACACTGTGTGCCAGTTATCGAATTCTCACGGCGCCCACATCAGCAGCACCCAGAGAAGCTGGCAGTGACAGACCCGTGGGATGGGAAGCACGGGGGTGTGCATGGCTGGGTGGAAAGTCGTTGGAGCCTTTCCCTGTGCTTTTTCTCCTCTTCTGACTCTGTGGAACAGTTCCTATGACCACTTCTATTTTACAGGTGAAGAAACTGAAGGGAATAAAGAAAGGATGGATTCCAACCAATAGAATCCCAGGATTACAAAAATAAACACGCTTGGCTCGGCGCCTATAGCTCAACCGGCTAAGGTGCCAGCCACGTACACCTAAGGTGGCGGCTTCGAATCCCCAGCCCGGACCCGCCAAACAACAATGACGGCTGCAACCAAAAAACAGCCGGGCGTTGTGGCGAGCGCCTGTGGTTCCAGCTACTTGGGAGGCGGAGGCAGGAGACTCGCTTGAGCCCAGGAGTTGGAGGTTGCTGTGAGCTGTGATGCCACGGCACTCTACCCAGGGGGACAGCTGGAGGCTCTGTCTCAAAAAAAAAAAAAAAAAAAAAAAAAAACACGCTTAAGGTTTCCAACACAAAAAGCCAACTTGATTTCTGAAAACCTCGTGTGGGGGTACATACCCAGCAAGCCACTCCATCATCCTTTCCACCACACACTTGCCGAAACATCAAAGGATGTCTTTTAACCTATTTAATAACACCATATGGGAAAAGGATATCTTATTGCAGTTACTTTAATAGTCTTTATTTTAAATTCTCTGTTTTCTAGTGGTTTAATTTTGTAGTTTTGCTGAATTTTGTGAGGAGCAAGGATGGCATGATTCCTCAATAAATACACTACATGCTTCACTGTTTTACCCGGAACAGGCCTTACCCATTGCATTTGTAAAAGGAAAGAAAAAATTAGAAAAGGGAAAGGCTAAAAATTGTCAGCCCTCCCACACTTCTATGGTTTGCCCCAGACAAAGGAACAGCTTCCTTACTTTAAAGAACCAGGAATAACTTGGCTGTGTTCCTCTTCCAAGCAGCCAGAGCCACGGCACCCACATCAGCACCACCAAGAGAAGCTGAGAGCAACAGCCCCGTGTGGTGGGAAGCACGTGGGTGTGCGTGGCTGTGTCAAAAGTAGTTTGGGCCTTTTTCTGTGCATTTTCTCCTCTTCTGACAAACTCATCACTGGTGACGATCACGTTACTGCGTCCGTGCATGCTGAGAGTCTTGGGCAGCTTAGTGAATATGTGGCTATCAGACATGCCAATCCCAACGCCTGTGCTCAAATAGAGGCAAGTAGATCAACAGAGGAGCCCACTCCTGCTGCAGAGCCTTTCACGGCGCCTCAGAGAGTTGCGACAAACAGGATGATGAGCGCTGCAAGTGTGGAGACCACAAACCACCTGCCGCCACTCCCCGGCACCCTGGAACCTCATCATTGCCTCTTAGTGCTTTCCTGGCAAAAAGTATCTGACACAGTGCAAGAGGGCAGTGCTTTATGGACAGACTGTAGATGTAAGCATAGTCTAATAGATGATCAGGCAAGAGAAAAACAAATCAGATTACCGGCTATTTTAGAGTACCTTGAAATTCCCAAGTGTAACAACCTGCAAACGCAAACCATTGTTTTCAACCGGTTATGACCAGAAGAGCTCAAAAAGAACGGAGAAACAGCAGGTGAGAGAATGTGCCCTCAAAAGAAACAGGCTTCGGTCTTGGCTAGCTTGTGTCAGACCAGATTCTGCCAAAGATTGCCACGAAATGTGTCCTCAAGAAGCCACACTTTCTAAAAGATGATTTAACCACTGCTCTCAGGAAGCCATAACAATGTTCAGATAAAAGGTGTATTTGTTTTACATTGCTGCTATAACCAATTACCACCAATCAGGGCCTGAAAACCATGGTCTCCAGCCTTTTCGGCACCAGGGACTGGTTTCAAGGAAGACAATTTTTCTACAGGGGACAGAGTGGGAGTGGATTCTCACAAGGAGCGTGTGATGTAGGTTGCAGTAGGGTTTGTGCTCCTATGAGTCTCTAATGCCACTGCTGGTCTGACAGGGGGCAGAGGAAGGGGGAGTGGCTGTACTGTACAGAGGAAGTCCCATTGCTCACCCGCCACGCACCTCCTGCTGTGCAGCCCTGCTCCTGCTACCAGTCTGCTCCCCTGGGGTTGGGGACCACAGCCTTAAAACACATTATCACACACTTCTGGAGGTGTGAATTCTGAAATGAATCTCACTGGCTTAAAATTAAGATGTCAGTAAGGATGTGTTCCAGCTCCTAGAGACTCCGGAGAAAAGTCCGTTTCCTTGTCTTTTCCAGCTTCTAGGCAGTGGTTTTCAAATGGTGTGCTGTGAGCGTGTGACCGGAATTTCTTTCTGCAGTAGGTCCTTGGTCTCCTGGATTTAAAGAATTAACCCATGGCCCACAGACCAGTGGTAAGATAAGATTTATTAGACAGAAAGGAATACAGAGGAATAAAAAGCACCAGAGCTTTTCCCTCCACGCTGTCTATGTTCTCCTTCTAGATTTTTTGCTAGATGTACTTGTCAACATCTTCCTTAATCTTCCCCATCTTTTACCTTCTCATTTATGTTTCCATGTACTTATTTTGGTATTTTGCATTCAAGATCATTTCCTCACATTTATCTTCTGATTTTCAACTGTTTCTAATATGCCATTTAATTCATACATTGCAGTATTATTAATGACGTTTTCTTTCTAGAAATGTTTGATTTGTTATCAACTCTGACTTTTTCACCATAACTATTCTTTTATTATGATTCCTAATACTATTAAAATTAAGTTATTATAAACATGCTTCTTTTTCAGGTTATGCTGTTATCTCAAAGTCTTAATGTGCTCATCTCCTATTTGTTATGCATGCTGATTTGATTTTTTTTTTTTTTTTGATGCCACAGCACTCTACCCAGGGTGACAGCTTGAGACTCTATCTCAAAAAATTTAAAAAAAAAAAGAAAGAAAAAAGTTCTAATTTAGGAACTTCAGCCTTAAGAAATTGTATTCACCACTGAAGAATTACTTGTCTTTCACTACAGTCTAGTTTCAATTCACTTAACTATTTGTGTCTAGTTTAGAAGCTACCTGTAATTTCTGAAAACAGCATCTAAAAATACTAACATATAACAAATAGTGTGCTTGCTTTGGCCACACATATACATATAGAAAATAGTGCCTGGCTAAATAAATTTAACTTCTCCAATTTATGGTCAAGTAATTTAGTTACTGGTTGTTTGGTTCAGCTTTAGTTACAACAGATATCATATCACAGGTCTAACTCCAAAATCAGCTAATGATATGGTTTAGTGTTACTATATATCCCAGACCTATTCTATATCATTCTTTATTTCAAAAAGGTAATGTATAGGGTGGCGCCTGTGGCTCAAAGGAGTAGGGCGCCAGCCCCATATGCTGGAGGTGGCAGGTTCAAACCCAGCCCTGGCCAAAAAAGAAAATGCAAAGAAAAAAGAGGTAATGTATAATATTTATTATATATAAAAAATGGCCATTTCTTTTCCCTAGTCTGAACTTTCAATCTGACAGAAAATTCCTAGTCATGTAACAAGTAGTCATCACTTCTTTTGTTATGTCAGAAAACCAACTATCAATAACTTCCTCTGATTTGTTTGCCAGCTTTCAGCTGGCAACAGAAAAGAATAAGCAAATTAGTGAACCACTAGTCCCCTAAACATCAGAGACTAAAATATCAGGAGATGACCTTTCATGTAGAAACACCACCCTACATTAAGAGAAGGATGCTGCCACATAAAAGCAGGGTAACAAAGACTTTAGACTTGTTAACCATTATTGATCAAAGCATTATTTTGTGCCTAGAAATTCTTCAGTCTCTGGCTAAAGTCCCAGTACCTTCATTTCCTTCTAATTGTAAAGTACAACTAAGGCTTTCCTCAAGAACCAAACTAATTCAGAAATAAGGTAGAAGTCTATTCGCCTCAAGAGCAGCAAATAAACCTTGCCTGGATATAATCTTGCTAATTTTTTAATTGCTAGATGGGACTTTAATAAGTCAAGACCTAATCAATTAATACACACAGCTCACAGAGACCCATTAAGTAAACTCAACTTCATTCCAAATCCTGAATTCTATATTCTCACTTCCAGAAACTAAATAAATATATAAGCCCGTCTCTTATAGTGCATGTGGACTTATATTTTAAATTGCTAACTCAGAATCTATATCATATCAACTAATAAAACAGTAATAAAGCATATACAGAAGAGAGGACAAATATTCCTGAAGGAGCAGTGGTAAAAAAAAGTAGGTAATTCTCAGAGATCAAATGTTTATATTACCAATGATTCATCAGTCTTGTCAAAGCTGATATCTGATAAAATGGAACCAGATTCATCAATGGTTGACAGTCTAGATGAATGAGACAAGAGGGGGTTAGACACAGAAGACTGTGGAACATAAAACTCACCAACATTCAAAACAAGTCCAACCTGTCAAGAAACATCAGCAATTTCATGGCAAAACCTCTCTGGAGACAACAAGTTCAAACCCTGTGGTAGGCTAATTTTGATGGTTTTCACGAGGACTGCACAAACACGAGTACAGGTGTAGCAGTTGCTTTTTCAGCAAAGGGCTTATAATAGCAGTTGAAAATTACAGTGAGCGCTATGGGTGTTATGTGCATTCCCTGATGAGTTCATACATAGTACTACAGGCTACCAAAACTCACAAAGCAGAAGAGTGAAGTTTAATTTGATCTTAATTGTGGCTACTTTCTATAAAACAGAGTATTACCCAGCATTGGCTTTTTAAGAAATTAAAGCTTATACATCTTCTTAGTTATAAAGATATCCCAATAAAACAATCAGGCAACAAAACAAATAGCTGTTGAGAGTGCTGACCTTCCCCTACTTATTGCATTGAGGGCATTAAATTCAAAGCCTGGTTGAGGCTATTTTAAACAGCGGTGCAGTGGAACCAAAATTATTGTCTGGTCTTGGCTCACAGAAGCCTTTTTATACGAGAAGTGCTGCAAGAGCTCTCTGGAGAGTAAACACTGAAGTATTGCTGAACTGCAACTTTCACCTTTAGGTTTCTTAGCAGTGTGTGGGATTAGTTATTGATGTGCAATTTAGCGCCAACATCAAAATTTTACCTATGGTAAAACAACATTCTAAGGAAAGGTAAAAAATAAAATAAAAAGGTAAGTCCTTGTGCCTTTATTCCCCACCCACCCTTAAAATCTTTTTCTGCTTTATTCAGCACATATTCTAAAAGCAGTGTATTTAAGAGTCTGGATAACAAGAACTTCTGACAGCTGTGTTGCTTGTGATCAGATAACAACAGATGTGGTTCCTCCACCTTTTGTTCCCAGCATTGCCGCTAGACGGTTGGCCTCTGTTGAGAAAAGCCAGAGCTGATTTTTGCTCCTCGCTTAGCTGAATGCTGCCAGATGTGTCACACATGAGCATCTCTCGAATCAGCTGAATCTGTCGTTCCTATAGACCAAGGCAGAGTAAAATGTCATAACTAGCTAACGGAGAAAGCTTCACCTCAAATTTATGGGATGGGCAGACCTGAAGACATTAAAATACAGCATTATGCAAACCGGCCTTCAAGAAGGTTGCTACACCAATAGCATATTAATTCACATCAAACCCAGGTTGTGTCTCTGATTTCTGACTGGTAAAATGAACTCCATCTAGAATACTGGAGTTTCTGCTATAAGACTTTTGGATCAAAACTGCTAATCCAAGAGAGTAATGAAAAATCAGAGTCTCAAAATAGATTTCAAATAGCAAAAACACTTTAGTGTCATTTTACCAGGACAATTATTGGCTTCTACAGATCAAAGCAACCACCCACCTTTCTAAACGGTGGAGCAAAATGCATTAAAATGGATACAAAGCTGTAATGCACTGGAACCAGACAATCTGAGCTTACTGAGGCATCTAACACTGTACCAAGATGGATTATTCCCTCCTACTAAAGGCTTTCTTTGCACCATGACCCACCCTGGCACATCAAAATGAAAGCATTTTATAACTCACATTGCTCAACTAGTTGAATACATTTAGCCTTTCACCCTGAATTAGAGAACAGTGATGAAGGAAAGAGTTAAAACTGTCTTACCCATATCAAGGACAAATTACCAGCTATTCACATTAAGGACAGATATTCTGGCTAGCACTTATAATAAACAATGAGTGATGGCTAATATCCTGTGACGGACTGAATACTTAGGGTTTCCCTTTCCCTCTAATTTCAATTCTTTAAATTCTCATTTCAAATGTGTCTACTGAATAATAGTTTCAAACTTAAAAACAAAACACAATTTCAAGCCATCAAATTCTATAAAATCCTATAGGATTCTAGGATACAATTTCAGCTCCAATAATGGGCAGGCTATCAAAGGACAGGTCACTTTCAGTTGTTTTCTTTGTTGTTGTTGTTTTGAGACAGAGTCTCACTTTGTAGCCCTTGGTAGAGTACCATGGCATCATAACTCACAGAAAACCTCAAACTCTTGGGCTCAAGTGATTCTCTTGCCTCAGTCTTCCAAGTAGCTGGGACTACAGGTGCCTGCCACAGCGCCCAGCAATTTTTAGAGACAGGGTCTTGCTCTGGCTCAGCCTGGTCTTGAACCTGTGAGCTCAGGCAATCCACCCACCTCAGCCTCCCAGAGTGATAGGATTACAGGTGTGAGCCATTGCACCCAGTCCTTCTATTTCAGTTCTTTAACAAAGAAAAAACTGAGTATACATCTGGCAAGTGAAAATTATCCCATGATGCTTCCCCTTCCCCCATGAACACTAATCCAGCATAAAAAATAATACACACCAGCTTTTCACAGTCAGCCTCAGCTCTCTGTCTCCGTTTGATCTCTACATCCACCTGATTACGTGCATGCTTCAGCTTAACATCCAAAGCACTACGCTCAGTCTCTGCTTTCATCAAAAGATCTTTGTATTTCCCCAGCTCATGGTCTGTTCTCTGCCACTTTTTACGGAAATCCTCAAAGTCCTTCGCCAACTGGATGAATTCTGAGGAAAGAGGGAAAGCTTTAATAATTCAAGCACCAAACAGAATATAACTGCTCTAATAAATGGTTAGTCTCACTCCAAATACATAATTAAGGGACCAGCTGAACTATAGGCAAATCCAGCTGAAAATAACCAGGAGCAGATCCTAGATATGTTTATCACTTTAGCTGAGAGCTTTGTGGGGAGCAATTCCTTTTTCAATAGGCCACTTACTTTTGGCTCAGCCAGTGGCATCTGCTATGGAATATGGAACTCATTAGTCACCTGGCTCCAGATGTAACACTAACACTGAGAGCTTCTGAGCAGAAGGCAATCAAAGGGGGATACCTTTGGGGCAGTTGTCACGCACCGGGACAGTTACAGCTATAAAACAAAAACAGCCTCCTTCACAGTCACACATTGCTGCACCCAAGAGATGTTAAACAGCAAATTCAAATGTAACTGCTATAATATGCTCCAGTAGATATAGATTAATATTATATATGTCTAGGCCTGCAATTCCATTCAGCTATATAATTACATAAATATTGATTTAAAAGTAAAGAGCCAATTTGCTTTTGCTGTTTAACACTGCCCTGAAGGGTATGTAACCATCCCAGATGGAAAAACAGGAAGAGATGATCATACTAGCTTTTGGAATGTCACAGATCGCAGAATGTGAACTCTCTTCAAATGTCTGCAAAGAAGCATTGCTTTCAAGGCAGCAACTCAAAGCAAGATAACCTTGGTGGCCTTTATTCTTTTGGCAAAGACTATTCTTCTACAATATATTTACATAAATACCTTACAATTTTCTCATCAACCTCAATCTATCTCTAAGTATTGCTCTCCACCAGCATCATGGAAGAAAGTTCCAAGGTATACATCTGCTGCTGGTCAAACTAACCCAATTTACAGCTGAAACTAGGGCAAAGTCACACAAAGCTAGCAGATTCTTGGTTGGTAAGTGTACTTTCCCAGCTGAATTTAATCTAAGGGTACAGAAACATTAGTGTGTTCTTTTAAAGCAATTTTAATAATTTGACTAAATATCAAACTTACTAATTATGATACCAACTCATTTTAGAGAAATCAAGTCATAAGGAAACTTTAGTTTTTAGTAAACAACAAATTTTAACAAAACAGGATACTATGACTTCATTGTCTTAGATATTGCAAACATCAAGAATAAAAAAATTAAAATTCGGCTCGGCGCCTGTGGCTCAAGTGGCTAAGATGCCAGCCACATACACCTAAGGTGGCAGGTTCAAATCCAGCCCAGGCCCGCCAAAACAACGACGGCTGCAACCAAAAAATAGCCGGGCGCCTGTGGTCCCAGCTACTTGGGAGGCTGAGGCAGGAGACTCGCTTGAGCCCAGGAGTTGGAG